TTGCATATAACAAATATAAACATTATTAGATTGTGAAAGTAATGGTCCTCACAGGTTGTAAAGCAGCAGTAGAGATACCATGTAGCTGAAGCAATATCTCGTGATCCCTCAGTAAACAGAATTTCTTTCATGAACTCCTCCAATGGAGAGACAAAGCTGAAAAAAAAGTAATAGCTCTGAAAGGGACAGAAATTTCTTCTTTAGTTGTATGGAGAAAGATTTTTACTTGTACGTTCTTGGAAGAGGCAAACACTTTACTTAGTAATACATTTTTTTTTCCTTTTCTTATCTAAATTTCCTTTTAATGCATCCTTAAAAAAAAACCATTTACAGAAACTTTTAAAAGTGGCATCATTACTGCCTACTGCACCATGTCATAGTTTTTATTTTTCTACTTTGTCTTTGCAAGAAAAAATGGATAAAGGCAAGTTAGTTATCTAGAGGTGCTTTTCTTCACATTTCCTTTTGTTTTACCTTTTCTTTTCTTAAAAGTATTTGTGAACAAATTCTTCTATTTGAGATGAGATCTTATCCACTGCAGCTGAATTTGACCTTTGGTTCTTTTTAAACTTCATCAGAAGAGCCTGAACACCTCTTTTGAAAAGCCAGGCTCTATGCTTTGTACAAAACAAAGAACACGTCCTTCCTAAAAGAATGAGGAACAAAAGGAAAAATTTCTTGGGAGAAGGGCAGATCACCTATGACTAGATATCCAGATAGCAAAAGATGCTCAGGGAAAAGTAATATGATGTTTTCTGAAACAGTTAAATTGGAAATAGGAGGATGAGCATTTGGAGGCAGGAAAGAAGCAGAATAAAAAATGGAAAATAAAGTAGATATGACTTATATGCAAGTGCAGTGGGAATAATACAGATGGGAGGCTGTATTAAAGTTATATTAAAGCAGAAGTATATAACAGTATTAATGTTATTCAGTAGCAGTAAAGTATCTATAGAGTCAGGGAGCTAAAAACTGAAAGGCACATTCCTGGTTGCCTGCTGTAGCACTTAAAAAGAGTTGTGGAGAGAAATGTGAGAGGATATACCTTTTAATGTATGGACCATATGGAAAAATTGTCACTGATATAATAGTTTGGGCAAAGTATTGACATTTGTACAAAGGACCGAAATTTGGGACTGGGGTTGGCTACAGTTCTTAGACTAATCTTTAGAAGAATGTAAATCAGATGCAAAAGAGAGGTACTGCTGATGAAAATGAGAATATGGGAAAACTTCTGTGGCTTGAGGACAAGTACAGTTGATATTTTCCTGAGGTACATTTAAGCATATTCATATAAAACAATCACAAAATTACATTTTAAGTTACTTATATTGTACTTGCAATCCCACTTTAAGGAACGAAAGAGGTGATTTAATAATTAATTAAAAAACCCCACAAAACTCTCTAACTAAACCTCTCACTACATTTCTTCATTGCTTTTGGTCTTCATATATATATATATATATATATAAATAATTTCAGGGTACCACTGATTCTGCACCAAAGTGCTCAGTTTGCCTCATGCTTTCACCTTGACAAAAATGGGGGTGGAAAATGGACAGATTTCTAGAAAGAAATGTCGTTCTGATTGGGAACGGTGATAAAGAATGATACTGACTCTCAAGGGAGTCAACAGGAGAATTCCTCTAGTTTATTGCTCTAGGCTTGTCTTATATACAGATACGTGGAAAGTACAGAAAGGAAATTCTTATTGGTTAGCAAAGTGCTACATCACCATCATTGGTCAGTGGGGCTCACCCACCCCCCTGACTTTCTCCTGCAAGGAAAACAAGAAGACAGACAAACAGCACCTGGCAGTTGTTTTCTGTCTCTGAGGATTGTTTTGAAATCCTCCTTTGAATTTCCCAGGCTAGCTTCTCAGGCAGGACTGATAGGCCATGGGGCCTACAGTTTCTGCAGCTCTCTGCAGCCTGCTCCAAAGCTAGCATCCATAAAGAAACCTTTTTTATATGTGCAAGTTAATGCCTATCTGCTGAGACAAGCACTCTAAGAGATCAGTCCAAACGTTATTGCCAGTGTGGTACACAGACTAGAAACTACAGCAGTACTAGGCAACTGCCTACAGAAGGTAAGACACTTCTGGAAAAAGAGCAACCATTCAAACCAGGTTTTAACATGCAAAAAACCTACCCCTACTCCACATAAGGATGTGGTTCTGTGGTGTAGGCTAATGAGCTGACATTTGTAGAGAGATAAGATTTGTAAAGAGAAATAATGCACAAATGTACACACACTCTCACATGTCTTTACATGCAATTATATAAATTAGTCCCATCTTATGGATAAGCACCCTTCCAGAAATAATTTTAAAATAAATTCCTATTGACTTGAAATAACTTGGAAACAAAATAGACTCATATTTCAGATGTAACAAAATCAGACTGGGCTATTCTGAAAGTTGGCTAGCAAATTCCACATGGTGACAGACTATCTGTGTCTGCATATATTTGTAAGCTTTGCATTAGAAGCCAGGACCTTTCACCCCTGAATATGACTTTTGATGGACTGAAAATCAGAAAAGAGTTAGCATTTATTATTGCCAAAGGTGTCTGAATTAATGTGATTCATGTCTGCTTTAGCACACAACTCCCTGACTCAGACATCATCATCCAGAACCGAATATTCACATAGGAAGAATATTTTTCTATATATTCCTCTCTCACTACAACCTATGTAAAAGTAAACAGAGATACTGATATTATTGCTTTCTACAATCAGAGCTGTGGAAATAAAACCTGCCCATTTCTGTTTTAGAAAAAGGAAAAAGCCTTCCTGCTTCCCATGGACAGGAAGCTTTAGGACAGCATCCTGATATAAGTGAATGCAATAAATTAATTCTTTACTCATTTTTTATGAGAGAAATCCTCTCCAAACATTGACATGTGGTTGTGTGTGTCTTTAATCATATGCCTATGTGCTTTGCTGGATGAGAGTTAGGCACAGCTATTTGATTTTAAAGATACAGGGAATTCCTTAAGAAGGGAGAAGGGGTTTCTGGGCTTCATTTAAAAGCACCTGTTTTCAGTCTTGAATATTTTGATAGAAGCATTTGTTCTAGGTTTTCTACTGTGGAGGAAACTCCTACCAGATGAAGATGTGGAATGATGTTAATCAGGAGGATGTACATTCCAGGTGTAATTATTTAAGAAGTGCTTCACAGTCAGTTTGGCTGTCTGGCACAGGGCACAGCTTCTGGTGTCTCCTCACAGAAGTCACCCGTAAAGTCTTGCCCTGTCCTGGCCTGGTTTCCAAAACCTTGCTTCATAAACAAAACACAAGGTTCTTGACAATGAGCAATATTTTCCTGACTACTGAATCACATTGTTTCTAATGATAACTTTGTTCTGGGCAAGCTCACCTGTTCTGCAGAAGGAGTCTCCCTTATTATTTAACAAGTGTCATTACATCCAGTCTTCAAAGAAAAAGAAAATATAATTATTCACAAAATTAAATTAAGGAAGGACAGAAATGCCCCAGTTGCAGGACACTAAAGTCCTGTGATTCTTAAAAATCTTGGGTGAAACTTAATGTGAGCTACTAAAAACAAAGGGACAAAAGCTGGTAGAAAATAACAGGGCAAAGACATCTAAATAAATAGCATTAAATGAATTTTCTTTCAATGCTCTAAAAAAAACAAAGAAACAAAAAGATGCATTTACACTTTGATGCTGAGATGCTGGCAAAGCAAAGATCCAGTTCATAGGCCAAGGAAATGCACTCTGCAGATGGCAGAAGCAAACCTTAGTCCCAGTTCATGCTGTAGCAGCTGGTATCCTAAGTTTCGTTTCCCTCATTGGTCTCGCTTCCTTTCATTTAACAGCCAGACTGTTACTTATTTTCCCTGCTAACAAATGGGGCTTTTGTTCATGTCCTTCCTTCATCCAGCCCCTTTAAGTAATCTTTGTTCCTGAACTTAGGACCAGGTTGATGAAACGTCATTGACATAAAACACAGTGAGGGTAATGTAAGTGAAGCAGACCCCTGAGCAGTGTCTATTACTGCTAATCCACTTGCATTTGCTCCTGAGAGGAAAACTCAGCTCCTAATGTTATGTGAAGCAGCAGAGCACTGTCAGAGGAATTGTACCATCACAAATATATAGGTACCATAAACTTACTTGCTGTGATCCTTTGTAGGCACGGCCAGAGTTGAGAGGTGGGTGTTCTTTCCAATATCTCATGTTAACTCTTAGAAAAGGGAGCAGCTGCCTCCTCTGCTGCAGAGCAGCCTGGTGACAGCACACGGGAACAGATGGCAGAGCAAGTGGCTCTTTCTTCACATTTAGGCAGTCCCCTTCTCTCCTCCTGCTTCTTTCAGACAGCCTCACTGAATTTTTTTCATGGTATAAAGATACTAAATCTTTTCTTTTCACTCCAGGAAACAATTACCCTCGCTCTTTGCAGAGCAAAAAGAAGAAAGGGAGTAAAATCTAAAGCATTAGTTCCATACCCCTCCACATCCCCCATCCTTCTTTCATAGGTTAGTCAACTGAAAAAACAGAGATGAGCTTTAAGGGTTTGTTTTCCTGTTATTGTGGGTTGATGTACAGACAATATTAACAGCATTTGGTAGCTTGCTGTATGGGGGAGCAATGGAATTGTATAATTCAAAGTAAAGGAAAACTAGTGTATTCATTCCTTGACTTATGCATCAATTCCAGATTTTTTTCCTTTGATATCAATAATCTGAAAACATAAATGCTCAGTTTATAGATAGTTTATAGACATAAATGGATAGTTTATGCAGCTCTAAGCAAAACTTGCACTAGCATATATTATCCAGTCACTATTGTCTGCCAAGTATTGCTAGATGAAGAAAAAATGTAAGCATAAAAAACAGGTTTCAAATATTACATTATTTCCTTCTGATTTAGAAGAACAAAACACGTTATCAAAAATCATGAAATGAATTGCACCTGCCCTAACACAAATTAACTTGGAGGTCACATGGACTTTCTAAAGTCACTATTATGACTGAACTCTACTGGGACCAAATTAACATGGCAAGGTGCTCTGTTCTTTTCTTAGAGGAGTCCACCCAGCCGTTCAGTCTGCTGCTGACAGGAGTGCCTGGAGCAACCAGACTTGGATGGGAGATGCTGGTGGTAGGTCACCACACAGAGACTGATTGATTCAGACTGTCTGCAGCTCACTTCGTGCCACTGAGCTGGCTGCACTCCCTTTACCTTTTCAGTGGTTACGTCTAGAAATGCATGTATTTTTAAAAGGCAATTTAAGATTCTGACATAATTCCAAGGCCCCTGGGACCTGCAAAGCTCTGAAGTCACTGTAATGCCTAGACTTTGATGTATGCTTGCTCTCAGAACCCTATTCCTGCAATTATAGTTCTTCCTATAACTCTTACTACCCCACATTTTGAAAGTATTAAACAGCAATCTAAAGCAAAATTCAGAATCCAAATACATACTGAAGTAAACTAAGTAGTAATTTATTTTTGTACCTGGTGAGTATTCTATTTCCTGAAAAGAAAATATTAATGACAATTCTTGATATGCAAGGTTTTAATTGCATATAAATACTTTTCAGTGCCCTAAAAGATCAGAATATGAGCCAGATGCTTGCATGGAGAAGATTTGAACAGATTGGTTGAATAAATACTCCTGTGAGTGAAGTCTTGTCTCTTTCTACCAATGTCTTTAGAAATTCTCTCCTGTAAACAAGCACTTTTTATATATTCCATTAATAGGTGTCTTGTACTGCTGCAGGTGAATATGATGAAACTGGAGCCTGGGAGACACTTTCTGTGACATGCTAGTCTCTTCAGGAATTAGTGGGATGTCGCTTTGAAAATGTGACATGATAGAAACTGGTGAGCTGTGCTCTCTCATGCAATAAAGTTTACATCAAGATTGAAGTGTTTCTTCAGGTTAATATAGCCCATAACTTCTATGTGAATTGTCCTCAAAACTACCATTTTTTAAGTGAGAGAGCACACAAAATATCTTATCTGTCTGGTCTGTGTTGGGAAATAGTATAAAGTTTTTAACTCACTTTTGTACTGTTTAACTTGCCATTGAAGTGGCAGAACAAAACAAAAATAATCAGGCCAAAATAGATAACATAGCAAGTACCAATAAAATGTTACACCTCTGTCACTCTTTGTGAAAAAGGCAATTTTGTTTGCTTTTGGGGTTTTTTGCTTTTTTGTTTGGGTTTATGGGTGTTCTATTTAAGTAGGAAGGCTTTCTATATGTCAAATCACCATAGTCTTTATCTAAGTGAACTGGCAGCCCAGGGGATTTAGATAGAGGTGTACCTGCAGAAAGGATCCTGATGGCTTTCACTGAAAGCATCCAGCGTATGAATCAAGGTAAGTAGATAAATCAGCTATAGATTTTTTTCCTGAGAACCTGAAAAGTTATTAGATCTGTGTTTTCAGAGAGTGGGTGGTGCAACTTCTTCTAATGCAGGCAAAAACTGTGTGAACTTTTGTGTGATTTCAATGCTTCTTGGACTCTGGATTATATTAAAGAACAGAAATAATTACACTGAGGGTCCTGTCCTGCATTCCTAACATAAGCAGAATGCTTATTGGATTTGCAGTGTAGGTCTGTCTTTTGTTAGAAAAAGCTTTGAAGCTTTTTGAATAAGGATCAGTCAAGGCCTTTGAATGGGACTCAAGCAGTGTTTTACATAAATAAGATATACACTCCACATACATGAAGCATAATTATTTGCATTTTTTATGAGGATCTTTTGTAATCAGTATTTTTTTTTGTCATGAATTGATTTCATAAATGTGAACTTGCTCTTGAGATGGCAAGAAACACACCATACTGAGAAGTTGCTTCATATATAAAATATGAGTAATGGGCTTGCTGGTGTGTATATTCAGCACTGTCCTCTACTGGTTGAACATAGAAATGTGCAGCTCTATGTTGAGCAACACTGCACAAACAGGAAAAGAATTTGCTGTGCCATTCATTCAAATTCAAGAACTAGTCCTGAATCAATCATGCTCACGATTGTTTTGTCTTCATCCTTCCACAATGTTAGAATAAATGATTTAAAAAAATGATTTAAAATCAATTGCCAGGTTTATAAGAGTGAGATAATACCTTTCTCTAGGCTAGATGATACAGTTAGAAAAAAATGGACAACATTTCACACACAGAAGCCTACATTGTGTCTGGCAGAGAAGTCAAAATATGCAAGTAAAGCAAAGGTTAAAAACAGGTGGCTTAAGTTTAACACAACTGCTAATTGTTTAGATTCCTTAGAGAAAAGAGAGAGCTGGTACCTGCAGGTAAATGGAGCTGCAATGGCAGATGTGAGTTCCTACATACCTGTGAAACTGAAGACACTTCCTGTGGCTCTCAAATGCTCTGCTGCGCAAAAGGAAAATTAAATGTTGAGATCAGGACATTTAGATGTGGAATTTTATGGCTTAGATCTCTATATAGCATCTGGGGCATTATGTTATGACTTAATTTTGGTTGTCCACTTGGTTAGTTCTGTGTTAGCCAACAGGAATATGCAAAGTTTTTTCCTTTATAGCCTTTTTCTCTAATGAGTATTAGTTCACTTGTTGCCATATTATGCTTCTCTTAAGTATAGAATGTGATAAAATTTTTTCATTCATTGCAGCTTAAGAATTTTATATAGTTCAGTGTCTTGATGATTTTTCTAGAGATCATATTTGAAGAGAAAAAAAATAGCATTTTCCTTTTTCACTGATCAGTTTTAAACACTTCTGTATCTGAAGAAGCTCATGTTTTGTCCCTACAGGAGAGAAAAAAAAAAAAACCAAAACAGAAAGAGAAACAACTTATTCCTATAGTTTAGGAGCACAGAATTCAGTTATCACAGCAGTTATTTGCTTTAATTGCATTCAGGAGGGCAGTATGTGGATGCAGCAGCATTTGGGAAGATGGCTGCTTAGAGACATAAATCTGAGAGATCCCCTGAGATCTCATTGTGGTGTTGTAGCTTTGATTTCTGTTCTAATACAATAAAATATTGTGGGTTTTAATACTGCTTCATTTTATTTTATTTTATTTTATTTTATTTTATTTTATTTTATTTTATTTTATTTTATTTTATTTTATTTTATTTTATTTTATTTTATTTTATTTTATTTTATTTTATTTTATTTTATTATTATTCCAGGGTGGCAGGCAGAAGGGGGAAGAAATGTATTTAGGAGGATATTGCTTGAGAAATGTAATCCTGTGTATTCGACACCTTTACAGATTCATTTCAGAATCTGTAAAATCACTCAGATGATTTTCAAATGTTCACAGCAGAGCTGGAGCTAATTGAGGACCACTGGCCAGGGGGCAGCAGTGGCAGGACCACCCAGCCTGGCTGCGGGCATCCTGCAGCTGAGCTGCTTCAGCGAGGCAAAATGGAGGCATGTCTTCCTAGCAGCGTGCAGAAACCTCAGCAAAGAAGCAGTCTGGTTCTCATGGCAACCAGGATTTCCATATACTGCAGGGGTACACACAGTCTGACATCACTTTGCTGCAGGGAGGATTTCTGTGCATACTCAAGGACTAAATTAAGCTCTCTGTAAATGAAGAATGTGTGTCCATTTTCATATATGTATGTTTTTCTTTCTGTGAAAGGGAGAATAATAGGGAAATAAAAGAGGATGCAAAATCATATTTCTCTAAGTCAAAATAAAAATAACCCTGACACACCCAACTTCTCATTTTCAGTTTGCATCCCATTTTAAAAAACAATGGTATCTTGCACAGCTGGGAAGAAAAAAGGATGCTAGCAGTTCCTTTAGGCGTTAGAAAAAAATTGCTTTGCTAATCAGAACACAGAGAAACAGATTTACTGAATGTTAGATGATGCTTTCTGCTGCAACATCATATATACAGATTTTATCAGGGCAAGTCTATAATGAAGATGTGATATTCATCATGCATGATACAGTGACATCTGGTGTAAGATATCCTGTGCTGTATGCTGCAGTTCCTGGCTAGGAAGATAATTCATGTGCTTCAGCTTTATCAGACTCTGCCATGCAGTCCAGTGAGAGGTTTCCTCATCCCTCATTTAAGATGACTCATACTTCTTGTAATATCTTACAAGGTCCTATGTTATTCCATTCTGCATATATACTCTGTCCTGGGGAATTATAATACAAGAAAAAACTGACATCAAATCTCTATTGTTCTATTACAGAGATTGGAGCTCCCTAAGTGTTTAAGGTAGATCATTTATAATTTGACTCTGTATGGACCTAAACCAGCTCAAATTTAGCTTCAGTTGGTTGAAGACATTCAGCATACTGAGGGATCTTCACCTTTTTTTTTCCTTTTTTTTTTTTTTGTCAGTAATACAAATGCTGAACTGAAAACACTTGCATATAGCTTTTTTTTTTTTTTTTTTTTGCTTGCATTGATTGGAATAATTTTGAACTCTTTCAATTGCAAAGCTTTAGTATGGGCTTGTGTGAATTCTGACATACAGAGATCTTGTAGGGCTAAGGCAGATATCAGTTATTTAATGCAAAGCTGTGGTTTTACTCTTTTCCTCACAACAACCTCTCACTTTTCAAGATGATCTGTAGAGCTCTGCATAGGCGGGATGTTCACACCACCGTCTCAACTACATAATTAAAGGGCCTTAGGTGCCAAATATATTTCCAAATGATCACAAATTAAGTGAAAATTTTAAATAAACATCATTATATTTCTTGTGAATCTGATGTATGATTAAATGTTTTTGCATGTTTTTATCAACAAGTTTCACTCTGTTTTTGAATTATGGTTCTTTCTACTTGGTTCTGAATCACAGTTTTATTACATTACTGTACTGGATGTTAAATGTGAGACATATAATCACACATCTAATGATAAATGTCCTTTCTTGGTCACCTACATCGGGGAAGGAAAGAGAAGAGGTAAAAATGAAAACTAGAAGCCAGTCCCTGGTACTTTACCTGCTCTATCCTCCAGTGAATTGTTTTCATGTGGGCAGCTTCTGGTAAATGTGGAAAACAAAACTGGTGGTTATATAATGACTTCAGATTAAAGAGAGCCTGCTTTGAACTGACAACAGCCTTGACAGACTGAATGTTGAAGCTAGAAACATTTTGTCAGAAATACTGTCTCTAACACTGCAGAGCCATACGGGAGCCCTTCAGTCTAGGAAGCAAAGGCGGGTTGCACCTCTGTGTGTGACTCTACTGCAAGAGTGCAGGGCCACTGGAAATGGCCAGTGATAAATCCCTGAGCTCTGCATCCACACCAGCACATGATGTGTGCCCACTGCCCCTTCTATACCTCAGAGGGAGCTGGATTTTTTTGGTCATCACGTTAGAATATGGTGCTGCCACAGTGACAATGAAATCAAATGGATGGCTTCTTTTATGAAACCTATCTATGTTGCTTGGCACCAGAAGTCCTTTTCTTCTTTTCTTTCCGAGTGGATCCAGAGTGCATTCAGAATTAATTATAATTTTCTCTTTTATTGTATTTCTATAATGAAAAATATTTATCACACAAATGGGAGGAGACTTGACTAGGCTGACTGTGATATAAGTGAACTGATGCAATTTTCTCCATCCTTTCCCATACAATTTTTAATCACAATGGGCCGTTTTAAAATATTTTTTATTTATTTGTATATAATAGTGCAGTACACAAATGCATGTTATTTATTCCAGTGTAATCCTAAATGAGTTCCTACATCACACACATGGAGATCACAGGGATGTGCAGAATCTGCTGGCATCAGCAGTGACATGGCATTGTGCTGTGGACATGGAGAACAGATGTACTGTCTGAAATTACTGACTTAGAGAGACAGCAAGAGAGAAACAGTGGGAAAAAAGACTAATAACAGAAGAGAAGGTCTCATTACTTCACTCAAAGAGGAAATATGTTACAAGGGACCATCAAAGTGTTCCCTTCTTTTTTTGTCTTTTAAATATCTTTTCTGCTTAAGAATCCTGGAATGGCCAAAAACCCTCAGCTTGGCACACTGCACAGTCCCTGTCATCCTCTCAGGGATGTTGCAGCAC